ATCAGATTGACATCTTTGCTGACTGGTGTAGTCCCTCCCCTTGGCTAGTTTTTGCACCTTGCTGTTGGTGGGCGGGCTTAATTTCATGCTTTATAGTGGAGTGTTGGAGACGGTAGGTTTATGGTCGGCGTTTCTGGCTCATGCCGCGATAGAATGGCGACATGGGCAGGCGATGGGGATTACTAAGCTTCCCCTCTCTGATAAACCGCTGCATGAGAGAACCAAAGATCTAGTCTAGCAGTGATAGTATCACACTTGTTACTCCTTTTATTGAGAGCCGCGTCGTAGTACGCTTACGTATAGGCACTGACGTTGGGTGTGATACTGGCGGGTTTTGCCGCAAATCACTCTTATTTTATTTATTTTTTACGCAGATAGATTTATTTGGGTTTGCAAGGGAATTATACTATTGAAATATTTCAGAAAGTGCCCAACAGTGCTCCTTCTATTTGCGTGACAAGCTTTCATTGTTGTTTTCATTGAAGTATTACTCAGAAAACAATGTTAAACATCATTTTTGTACATGGTATTGTAACTAATCTTATATGTGCTTCATTTTGATTTGGGATAAGTGTTTGAACTATGACTCGGGTTTTCCACTGTGGTGTGCTTTTATTGTGACATACCCATGTGTATTTTTGTGGTGCGACATAGAGGAAACGTGAGAGCGTAGTTGGAACATTTACCCTATACAATATACAATTTAAAATTAGCTTGGAAACTAACTTCAAAGTGAAGCATTTTAGTCACTTGAAGGTGTCATCTGGGACGAACAAAGATATAAGATAAGATATGTAAAAGCCAGAAGTACTTGAAACACGTTAAATTGTAGTTTAAAAGCATGGGTTATGTAGGTAGATTAGAGATTTCAGTTATTTATTAAATAAACTTCAATTATAGAATTCAGAAAGTTAATTAACATAAGAGATAGGACGCGGGGGGTCCGCTTAGGGAGGCGACTAGCCTATGAAGTTGTATAATAAATCTTCCTATTTAGTGTATTTGTTAATTACAGACAATGTCAATAGCGAAAGTCATATCTTCAACCAGGCGCTTACGAACAAGTGAAGTTTTAGGAAAGATGTGTTAAATATGTTGATAGGTTTGAAATAAGAATTAGGATTGTTGTGCTTTAGTTTTCGGTAAGGTATGAGGTGTCAACAAAGTCCTTTTGAGCAAATTTTCAAACAACAAATTGATTGAGTGATTTATTGAAAGACATTGCGTTGCGAAAATTGACAAGTCATACATCTAACATAGTAGTAGTAGCAGTGTCGCATAATCTTATCACAATTGCTGCAAATAGTGCTTGAGGGGCCAGCAGGGCTGAATACGGATCAAAACTAACATAACTACTAACACTAAAATGATCCCGGAACTAACACTTATCCATTGCACTTTTAGTTATTTATTAGTTTTATATTTCTACTAAGTCATCTATGCTTCTTTCTATTGTTTGGATCAAGTACAACTAATACTAATCTACCTTTTAACCCATTATCTTTATGAATGGCGAATCATATGACGTGAGACACGTACAAGCTGGAACTCAAAGAATTACTTCGAACAGGATGTCAAACAAATTCAGGACCAATCCAAATGAGACCAGAAACCAACAAGGCATCGGGGAGTTATATATTCTGGGAGAGGTATTTGATAAATAATCAAAAAGTGGTAAGTTAAAATCAGAGCCAAGGATCATGAGAGGTAATTGTCAATAATTCATTAATTAGTAGAAATCTCGATAACTTTTTCAAGGGAGCGTATCGGCTTTTGTAGGCGGTGCGTTTGGTCGTCGATTTGGCGTAACTGCCCGAAAAAAAAATTACAGTGAAATTTTCAGTGGAAACAATGCTCTAACATTAATATTTATTGTCGACAATAAAAATGATTGTTATAATGTTGTACTCTTCCGAAAACGGCAAAACTGCTACCTAGCTGTACAATGATTGTACATAATAAAATGTTGTTACAATGATTTTTATCGTATTTTTCATTTATTTTATTGTTAACATGATTCGATCATGAACATTAATGAACAACTCTATTACAATAAAAATTGTTGTTACATTAAATATTGGTGTATTTTCATTGTGGGTTACTTCACGAACAATAAAAATAAAACTGATTGTCAGCAACACTGCCAATGTAATAGTCCATTTTATGAAATGACATTAGCTGGTTTGCCTGCCAGAATTTGATGATATTGATATTGCTTCTCACAGCCGTTAGGTAACCGCCTCCTGCAGTTCATTCATGAGTTGAACCAGAAACTTCTCATAAAATGCTCTATTAAGATAGGCGCTGCTCGTATGGCTCTGGCTTTGACAGTTCGTTTGGCTCAAAACCAGGCAGTCTGCGTCCGCTCATATCTTATCCTAGACCCTCTCTAAAGCTTAATGGATACCTTTTCCGTGCAGTCAATAATCATACAATAATAATAAAAAATTCCACCACTTGAAGATGTCAAGAAGGAACTCTCATGTGGAAGCATATTTCATGGGCGATTCTCTCCAGTCGAATGCATTAACTTATCAACGACGCTCAACCACCAAGGAGACGTGACCTAGGGATATCGAGCGCAGGGGAGTTGGCCTGCATTTCTCACAAGTTCCGGATCGAATCTCGATCCATAACCAGTAAAAAAAGGACCACCCGTAACAGACAGACCCACCCCCCACTTCCCTTCCCGGGGCAATGTTTTATTATTTCGATTTATTTTTAAAGTCGATAAAGTAGATCTGTCAAACCAACACATACACTCTAAAGTACACTGTTATTTTTTTAATCAATAAATTCGCCAACCAACAGTAAAATAACAATAATATATAATGTTATTGAAAAAAAATTGTATGGGAAAATCACGAAAATTTCATTGTTAAGATACTTAACAACCCCCCTTTTTTATTGTAAATTTTCCATTTACCATGAAATTTATTGTTTTGTACAACATAAATCAAGGTAAATTTATTGTAGACGTAACAATATAAATCATTGTTAAGACAATAATTTTCGTCTTATTGTTACATTGTTTTTTAATGTATTTTTGTTGTTATTTTTTTTCGGGTGGTGGCTCGCCCGCGCGTGCTGGCACTATCATCAGATAGGGAAATTTTCCGCTATCTGCTGGTGGTGTTGATAAGCGTGTGCGAGATGCCGGTTGCGCCGGATCGACAATCGGATGCATTGTTTGCAGGAGCTGGTGCTTCCCTTTGAAAAAGTAATCGAGAAATAACCATATTATCCTGTAATTGATATTACTATTTTTATATATCAATGAAATTAGTCATGACAGAGTAACAGATGGGGAAGGACAATAGACACAAGTTGACACAATAAACAAGACAAGTGGGGGTTAATACACAAGACAAAATGACAAAATAAGTGACGACAGAAGACAAGACTGGGACGAAAATTAACCTTTTAAAAAAACAAGAATGCGCAATTATATTATCAAAACTATTTGGATCAGCACAAAAACAACAGTGACCACACGGGCACCATAGCCTAGGAACGTCTGTGTGTTGATTTAAAATAGAGGCTCATAGAAGCAAAATTTATCAATAAAAGGGGTCCAGTGTAGAGTTTTAGCAAGTTGCTGCCACTGGATCACTACAAAAAAAAAAAAAAAGACATCTTTGCTGACTGGTGTAGTCTAAACCGACTGGTGGTCAACCCAGCTAAGTGTACAGTTATTACTTTCTCATGCAAGAAACAACCGATTATTTTCAACTACAAACTACTAGGCACGACTATCGAACGGGTGCATTGCGTGAAAAACTTAGGCGTTTTTCTAGACTCAAGGCTGACATACTCGCACCATATATCGTATGTCGTCGACAAAGCGTCCAGAACGCTTGGCTTTGTCTTCAAGATTACTAAGAACTTCACAGACCTTTACTGCTTGAAATCGCTCTATTGCTCTCTCGTACGATCTACGTTGGAATACTGCTCTGCAGTCTGGAGCCCGAACTACAATAATGGGGCCGAGCGAATTGAACCTGTGCAACGACGTTTTCTTCGCTTCGCGCTCCGTAAGCTGCCTTGGAGATACCCACTTCGTCTTCCAGAGAATCGCTGCCAATTGATCAATGTCGAGCCCTTACGTATCCGAAGAGATGTTTTCAGACCCTTAACCTTCGCCGATACTCTGCAAGGAAGAATCGACTGCGAAGCAATTCTACAACAAGTGAACATTAATGTTCAACCTCGATCACTACGCAACAGTCTTATGCTGAGACTTCCACTTTTTCGAACTAATTATAGCTTAGGGAGCGCTATTTACGGCTTGCAGCTAGTGTTCAACCGAGTAGCGTCGATGTTCGATTTCCACTTGACAAGGAATGGCGGTTGACGCCCAACAGCTAAGTGTAAAATTCAAGACTAATAATTTTTAGTAACTTGAAAATGCTTTCCTAGTTATTTTCGTTTGTAACTGTAGTATGTGTAGTCTGTATAATCTGTACCTTTTTTTACAACACATCATTGGGACTATTTCTAGTCTGCTGATGCAAACATAACAAATAAACAAATGAAGCACGCGGCATGCTCACCAACATCTAAACATTAAAAAAGCGTCGTGAATTTGCAATGGTTTCATTTGTAAACGATACCGCTTCGCATCGTATTGACTCAGTGGAACTCTTATCAACGCTTAATTATTACAATACCTTCTCGCTTACCTTCCAATTATGCTTAATTTGGACCACTAAATCATATGATATGACTGCTTATAATAAGCATTACGAAACTATAGACTTTACAATGACAAAAATCAAATTAAAGAAGTATTTCAATTCTATTCGTGATTTTGACACGTGAAAATTATTCATAAGACAGAAATTGTGACAAATTATCCAAAATGGTCTACATCTGATTGACGACAACAAATAAATAAATAAATAACAATTTTGCGGACTTTTGGGAAAAGTGTTATGGCTCAAATTTGGGACAACGTAAAAAAAAGTGATATTAATTAATAAGCAGCGCCTTCCGCCCAGTTACAGTGAAGTGGAAATTACTTTATTCTATGCATTTTGTTCCAAACATACAAATTATTTACTAATTTGGTTCTCCGAGTAAGATTTCCCTGGAAGTTACATCTACACTAATTGTTACAACTCCAAAAAGCTCACAAACGATTTTCTTCTGACAATTGTCAGCACTTACCAACCCAAACGGTAAGTTCTCCACGGCTCGTTAAGCACGCACACAAACAATTCGAATCACAATGCAGTGCGTACAAACGATTTCAATTAAGACGCATCTTCGCCTTCACGTTGACGCCACCTTGCTGCTCACGAGTGCAGTTTCTCCATCGGAGATGGCGCATCATCTGCTAGCAGCAAGAGGGTTGGGTAGTCCGCAGAAGAAATGCTTAATTGAAAAAGTTTTATCCGAGCTTGTAGCAATACACCGCCGAGTGGTTGTTTTCTCTGCAGATTGTGTGCGCCTCTTGATGTAGTTCACACTGTATAAATCCAACTCTTTATTGTTGTTATTATATATTATTTCTCTCTGCAAGTGCCAGATTATTAAAAACGCTGGCATGTTAGTCAGGGGTTTTTTTTCTTGTTTGCTTCTTGGCGTCAAGTTGCTTATGGGAAACAATATTTATAATAATAAAATGGTTGCAAGCGAAAATTAAAGCAAAACTTTTGCAATAAAACTTTGAAGATTGAAGTGAATGAACAACCACACCGGCACAATTATAATGTAGGTTCGTTCGCAGGTCTAAGTGGCTGCATGCAGCTTCTGTTACAACTAATTCTGGCCACGCTCATTGTGTGCTGTGTCTTTCTCAAGTGTGTGTGTGTGTGTGTGATTTGAAATTAATGAACCATCCACTGCATTTATATTACACACGCGCTGTTCACCGCGGTTTGCCGTTGTTGTTTTTTTTTGTCATCGAGGACCCTAAATTTAAACTTTACGATGCAGAGACCCATTGTATTATGGATGTTTTTTGTCTGTCTACCAAAACTGATTTCCATAATTGAAATACCCCACGTAAATCAGATAATAAAATTAAAATTCGCGACGATGATACTTATCCGGGTCGAAGTATGAGGTAACGACGACTCGGTCGCTGAACTTGCGTCCGGTAAGTGCCTGCTGGGCTTTTTGACAGTCGACAATCGAATTGAATTCGACAAAGACCTTGCCACAGCCCGGCACGTCGACGCCCTCGATCGGTCGGGGGATCTCCAAGCTCCGGACGACGCCGTACTTGTTGCACTCTTCCTTAATATCCTCAAGAATATCTTCGTATTCCTCTTCGTCCTTCAACTCGTCCGGTGTGACCATGTTCAGCAGACAGAGAACCTCCGTCGGTGGACCCGAGGAGCCAACCAGCGAGAGACCCGGCACCTGTTGAGCAAAGCAACAACAAAATTCAGTTAAGTGATTGATCGGTGATAGGTGCACGTGGTTATACGAACCTGGATTTGCACCGGTGCAACAGCGGCGACGTTTGCATTCTTCGCTCCAACGCTGGCCCTTTGTACGATCAGCTTCTTATCGCCCAGTTGCATACCATTTAATCCGGCAATGGCCTAAAAAACCGGTACAGTCAGTCACATACTTGGGTACATAAATTGAATATGTCGAACTTACCTGATCGGTGATGGTGTACTCTACGTACTCAGCGAAAGCGTATCCCTTGCTCAGGCCAGTTGCAGCGTCCTTGACCAAGTTGAATGCCTTTAGCTGTCCGAAGGAAAGCAGCAGTTCCTTGACCTGTTTAACAGAAGTATGCAGCAACGTTCGATTGCGCACAAAGGAGAAAATATAGAAAAGTAAACAAAGAAAGACCTGTATTAGAATGGGCTTCATCCATCTAAACGTACAAAATTGGTGGTTTAGGAATCCTATCCGAACCCTATAGTGCACCCTTTAGCTTCCCATCGGTGGCAAGAGTTTCTTTTTACGAAGTAGAGAGTAAGCGCGCCAGTTATGTCGATGATTTGCGAGACGTAAGATCTGAAATGGACTTTGGATGGAAGATTATATCCATGTTTTTAAAGTAGGAGGTATAGGGTATAGGCTACTTCGTCGTAATCGCCCATTTCCGTTCTATCGATTAGAAAAGATCAATGATATCAATGATTTCACCGTGCACAAATCAATAATAGGTTTGCTCCGATGCGTTAGTTCATTAGCTGCAACATAAATCCTATTAGAGCGCATTGTATGAATATTTAAGCTCATTGTTCTCAATACAAAAGAAGCGCTCCGTAGGACGAAGAAAATCTAATGGCGTTTCAATGCGTTAGGACGGAACTGAAACTCGTAGGACGAATTTAGAATCAAGAAGCGGTATTAGATTTTAAACAATATCTCAACAATGTGTGACTCTTTATCAAATCCAACGGTACGTCATCTTTGACAGAAATAGGTATTCCATTTTTTGTACAAACCCGTTCAAAAAAGAGCGGTAAAACGCGGGTTGTGCTTAGTAGGACGGAAATTAGATCAAAAACCCTACCAAATAATTTAACATTTTAAAAGTGTACCTGATGGGGTTTCTCTCTCTACTTTGCTTTGAGCTATCTGAGGCCCCTACAATTGGATTATAAATTCTGCAAAATAGGTCAATTATCATAAATCTTTCAGATCAGATTCATAATCATAATTCATCTGAATCCAATAGTAGAAATTGGTGTTTCACAAAAAAAATTAAGAATCCAGTTTCCCAAAATATTGAATATACCGTACAAGGACCATAAGTTGAACAGTTTGATGTTAATTATATTTAATTATCAGATTATCAAATGAATAGACACTGTTCAACTTATGGTGCTTGTACGGTATTCGGGGTCCTAGTAAATTACAAATGGCTTGTTAAAATCTGCTAAATTTAGTTCAAAATCTTTCTAACCACGCTTTAGGATTTAATATAACAAATTTGTGAGCACCGTCAAACGAATTTTTTGGCGTTGCGAGTGTGAGTGCGCGAAAATGTATGAGAATCTCAAGCGTGAGGTTTGTCTGCCACATTCGCACGCGAGTTTATTCTATCAGGGAGGCTCAATTAATGAGATTTCTCGCGTCACTTTTCAAAAGATCCTAAGTTATAAATGTAAACAAATCGAGCTAAGCGAAAAACTATTGCTCTTCTATCACTGTATGTGATACAAAAACACCCATCCAAATTTAATTTCATTTATTTAAGATAACCATAGGTTAAAAATTGTCCAATGTACAATTTGAAATGATGGGTACATGATTGTTACTTCGGTCATTTGGACTGCCTAACATGATTGGTGCTCATTTTCTAAAGGCGGGGCCAATCCAAAGTTAGGTACTCTACTCTGAAATCTGTGAAAGGAATTCTAGTATCATGTAGAACAAAACGTCCAATGTTACACTCATTGATTATGTTACTGAAAAAAATTGTCCAATGTAACATGTCCGATGTACAACTTGACTAATCAAAACGTCCTATGTGTTTTTTTTTTCTATTTTAGCATAAAATTCGAAGGAAAATTGTGATTTTACCATTTCTGCTGAATTTTCAACGTTATTATTCACTGACTACATTTAAAATAGTGTTGCTAAATGTATTGTTTCTAAACATTTAAAATAATTATCTGACGAACTTCAACTTCTGTTTTCTCAAAATGGCGTATATGTTACATTGGTCTATTTGAAAAGTGACGCGAGATTTGAGAATGATTTTTCGAACACTACATGGAACACACAATACGCCTGAACGACGGGTGACGCCGCTAACCGCACGACCCCGAAGCCCACAGAGTGCCATTTGGGTTCTAATTGTTTGATTTAACTTGACATCAAGACTAGACAAGCTGGTCAAAGATTTTGGGCAGTGCGAGAATCCTATGAAGATTGTGCTGCTAGTAAAGAAAGGAGTCGGCACTAGCCGTATAAGCTTCCCTTAAAATAAAAAAAATTGGAATGCTCTTCCAAGTTCTCTTGGAAGTCATCTCGGAATTCTCTTGAAACTCTCCTTAAAATTGTATATGAATTTCTATTGAACTTTACCCATAGAATTCCTTTCGAATGCTTTTTAGAATTGTCTCCTGAAATTCCTTGAAACTCTCTTAAAAAAGAATATACTCCCAAATTTTCTTTAGAGCCCTCTTCAGAGTTCGATTCTTTCTAATTTCTGTACAATATTAATTTAATTTATCCCCTGAATTCGATATAGTTACATTTGCTCAAGAAATCCTTATAAATTCTCATCAGAGACCATTAACACTCCGAATACGATGCCTCCGGTAAAATGTATGAATGTATTTAAACGATTCCTTAGTCTTTCAGCTTCAATCTGATTACATTTTTACGACTGAGCAAACCTCTGTTTGCCAGGTTTTTATTCAAATGAAACATACGCACTACAAAATACAACTGATTTCGACTTGCCGATAACAGAACAGCTGGTTAACACGCAGCTGGCTCATTCATTAATCAATCCATTGAATTGGTCGATGAGCCTGACGAAATAAAGCAACCACTTCATAGTAGTTGTAGATTTGAAGGTTTTCACCCAATTACATTAGATGAACTTAGAGTTGCTTTTCATTAGAAAAATCGGCTGGAGTTTACATCTTGCTGGACCTTATTAAAAAATCATTGCAGACTGGACACGTGCCACAAATTTGGAAGGAATCCTTAGTGGTTCCTATTCAAAATGTTGCTGGAACGATTAAAGCCGAAGAGTTTCGTCCCATCAACAAGTTGCACACATAAGAGAAAATTTTAGAACTTGTTGTTAAAGGCCAGCTGTTGGAGTATTTAAATAGTAATAGTTTGTTGATACAAGAACAATCAGTCAGGATATCGAGGTCATTCTTATTAAACTGCGTTGAATTTGGTGTTAGCGGAGTGGAAAGACAACTTGATCTGGAACGCGCTTTTGAAACAATTTCTAGGCCCTAGGCGCTTTGGATTTATGAGTACTGCATATAAATGGTTTGAAAGCTATTGATTATGATTATATTTCCAGTCCCGTGGGGAATAACCTTGGATTGCCCCAGGAAAGTGTATTAGGGCCCCTTTCATTTATTATGTATATTAATGAAATGTGACGTGTTTTACGATTTTGCGGCACTAATTTTTTTTTTGCGAATGACACTGTGGATTTAGAAGTTGCCGTTTCACGCTTGAATGAGGATTTGCGATCTCTAAGTAGATGGTTGAAGTGTAAGCAGTTGAAATTGAATACAAGTTTAAACTAAATTCATGATAATTTCGCGAAATCGACTAAATGATAACGTCTCTATTGCAATTGATGAATTCGGGAGATCAAATATCTTGGCATGATTATTGATGACAAACTAAAGTTCAACTCTCACATTGACAATGTCATAAAGAAAATTGCCAAGAAGTATGGAATTCTATGTCGACTGAAAAACAATTTAACTATTGCCAGTAAAATACAGCTGTACAAATCAATCATCTCTCCTTATCTAGACGTTTGCCCTTCCATTTTATTTCTGACAAATCAAATACAAATATCGAGATTACAGCGCTTGCAGAATAATATAATGCGTTTGATTTTGCGATGTAATAGATTTACTTCCTCAACTTTGATGCTGAACGCTTCAAACGTTCATTTTTAAATTAGTTAAAGGTTTGCTGCCTCGTTATTTGTTTGATCGAATTAAAAAAGGAAGTGAAACTAGAAACCCAGATTAAATAAGAACATCAAATTTCTTGACTTGTGCTTCACAGAATTCATTGTACAGTGTTGAAGTCTCGAAGTTCCATGCACAGTTTTAAAGTCCCGAGGAATTTTGTCATAATTTCTAAGGACCTAATTCCAAGGGAGCTCTGGGGAAAAAATCATTCAGAAAACCATCAAATACAATCTGCTTTCGAGGTAGTTCTGAGAAATTTTAGAGTTAGAGTTGAATTGAGTTAAAAGAAAATTTTAATGAAAAATCTTAGGAATTTTTGAAAACTCTTGTGAACTTCACCGGGAAATTACAAGGGCATTCTGAGGATAATTTCGTAAGGTTTGTGGGAAAAAATGAATCCGGACCACAAGTCCTTGGACATTTTCTGAAAATACTAAAAGGAGGATTACAATAAAATGTGAGAATAACTCCAGAACATCTTCAAAGAAGTTCGGAAAATAAATTCAGGAGAGTTTGCCAAACAAATTATGAGAAGAAATCTAAGGAATTTCTGAGGAGAAATGTCAATGAATTGTTAGGAGACTTTGAATGTTAGTAGAGTTCCAAGCGAAGGAGTTAGATTGAAAGGGGAATCTGAAACGAATTCAATAAATACTCGGAGAATCTTTCCAAAGGATTTCTAATTGTGGAGAATTTCAAGGTAATTCCGAGGAAAACTAACAGAAAATTTAATTCTGACGATAGCTTCATCAAGATTTTGAAGAAATCTCCGTTGAATATGGAATGGACTATTTTGAGGTCTTCAGAACATTCTCAAATTTTTCCTGAAGTTATCGAAACTGCCTTGAAGTTCTTTTGTAGTTTGATAAACTAGCCTGATGCTCACAATACTTCTCCTCAAATCCGGAAATGTATAGGACTTCCTGAAGTTTCCTCAGCTTTTCCAACGATCATGGATCTCCTTTAAAGGTTTAACAATTCACTGAAGTTCTATAAACTTCTTTAAAATTCATGTTACTTCTCTAATGTTGGCGGAACTGCTCTGAGGTGTTCTGTTCTTTTCTGAAATTCTCAAAACTTCTAGCAGTTCTCATGAAGCATGTTAATTAAATCGTCCTAAAAATGTTTAAGCTT